GAGGGAAGGCAGCTAGTCGTCACCACCCACCGCCAACGCTTGGGCTACTCTTTTACCAACGAATAGTGAGATTGACCGTCACATAACGCCCCCACGGCTGAAAGGGCGAGCATGTTTGTTGTGACTTGGATTCGAACCCGCGACCCGCAGATTGCGAGTCGAGCGCCTTAACCACCTGCCCATACCGAGCCTTCTCGTACGGAACACCAGTGTTCCGCGGAATATAGTTTAGGAAACGCTGCTTTATGGCCTTAAAGTTGTAACAAAGGAATTTAAAGTCAGCTTAATGGTAATCTTTAAAGAATAAATGTAAGTAAAACATTAAATTTTTTCATACCTTACATTTCTACAAAAATATCTTGTTTATCATCATAACCAATTGTTAACCATCGGATTAGGCTTAAACTACCGGAAATCTCTCACTAGTCATCTTGATTTGTTTTGTTTTTTATTACAAGGCGATTTGATTAAGTATTTTTAGTACTACTGTAGATTCTTATTAATACAATATTATTAAAGTACTAATTTAACTAGCGTTTGTACTGCATCAATAACTAAGCATAGAAGTTTTAGTTTAGAATGCTTATTTATTGAGTAAGACAACAAAGACGCGATCTAGTTACTATGTTCATGACTAGATGGCAGTAAAGTTGTTTGTATTGTCAAAAGTGTTTCACTGTCGAGAAAGAAATGTTTATCTTTATGGGGAAATAAACAAATTAAAATGCACACATTTGTTAATTTAGGACTTGTTTACTAAGAATTACAATAAAAAACTTAGACAAATTAAGATAAATATTGTTTAATCTTGAGTCATTACACTCATTACCTGACAGTTTTGAAACAGAACTAACGTGAGGGCAATTTAATTTAATTTATTATTCATTTCAATTTTTAACAGAGACTTAAAAGATACTTCAAAATGAAAGTCTGTATGATAATTGAACATTTATTCTGTAGCTAAGCAACAAAAAAGAAACATATATAATCTAAAAATAAATTCGCATATCATATAACTTTTAATACATCGCATAGCTACCTCGTATACAAGTCCGTCTCCCGATACAGAAACGATATTGTTGAACACGGACAAGTCTACAGACCGAATGTAGTTATATACAAAGTTCTTCTCTTCTATAAATCAAAAAGAAATAAAATAAACTGTTTAATTGTTTGTTTGAAGTTAAGCACAAAGCTAAAAAAAAAAAAAGGGCTATCTGTGCTCTGCCTCCAAGAGTGTTTAATTGTTTGTTTGAAGTTAAGCACAAAACAAAGCTAAAAAAAATGGGCTATCTGTGCTCTGCCCCCATAAAGTGTTTGATTGTTTGTTTGATGTTAAGCACAGAGCTACACAATGGGCTATATGTGCTCTGCCTACCACCGGTATCAAAACCCGGTTTCTACCGTTATAAGCCCGCAGACATACTGCTGTGCCACTGGGGGGCAAACTGTAGCTATTTTGTTTATTAATTTTTCACAAATCGTTATCACTCATGTGGATAAAACAACCTTAATTTCAACAACTTTGATTGTAATGATTTTAATATCTTTATTTAACCAAATATATACATATTATTTTAAACGTTTAAAACACAACAACAGTTCAAGAATTGTTAGCCTTTTTTATTTAAAACATCCCATGATTAACGAGTCTTTTTGTAAATGATAGTCACCTAATACTCACGTAATATATCTATTAGTTTCTAGCGTGGATAGGCGTTAGATGAACTGCAGATAAACCTTAATTGCTGTTGTTTTTTGTAACGGCCACGGATGATAATGTATCAAATAACCAAATAACTTGAATAGATTTGGGTAGTTATGGTTAAGTTTGAATATCTCTGTTTAAAAAACAAACTAAAGTAAATGTAACATAATTATTTAAGGCGACCTTACTTGACAGAACTACCTCCCAAGTAATTTCACCCTCTTCCAGAAGGGGTACGACCTGCTCCTTAAATATTTCATGCGCTCTTCGTCTGCCACTGGCTGGATTAATGATCACCAACATATGACGTTTTGGTAATATATCATATGGTAGTCGATCACAGTCTGAAAATAAGATTTGAAAAGTTTGAACAGCATATCGTTATCTTTTATCCACTTTGATAATATTGAATTTATTGATTTTTGATAACTGTATTATTAGTATTATTATTATTATTATCAATACAATAAAACTGACGACCCATATATACTAAAGGTACGTTTCAAGATCTTTTAATAATTCTGATAAATTAATGCTTTGTGTTAGTAAACTTACGTTTTCCTGACAATATTACTCATAAAAATTATCATTGTTTTACAAGCTATACCTTCGTCACTTTATAACACATTAGTGCATTTGGTCAACATCTTTCGGCAAATATATAGAGGGAATAACCTTAGCCTACAAGTTGCAGATTAATATTTACAGGGAATAACTTTAGCTTACAAGTTGCAGATTAATATTTACAGGGAATAACCTTAGCCTACAAGTTGCAGATTAATATTTACAGGGAATAACTTTAGCTTACAAGTTGCAGATTTATATTTACAGGAATAACCTTAGCCTACAAGTTGCAGATTTACATTTACAGGGAATAACTTTAGCCTACAAGTTGCAGATTTACATTTACAGGAATAACCTTAGCCTACAAGTTGCAGATTAATATTTACAGGGAATAACTTTAGCCTACAAGTTGCAGATTTACATTTACAGGAATAACCTTAGCCTACAAGTTGCAGATTTATATTTACAGGGAATAACTTTAGCCTACAAGTTGCAGATTTATATTTACAGGGAATAACTTTAGCCTACAAGTTACAGATTAATATTTACAGGAATAACTTTAGCCTACAAGTTGCAGATTAATATTTACAGGGAATAACTTTAGCCTACAAGTTGCAGATTTATATTTACAGGGAATAACTTTAGCCTACAAGTTGCAGATTAATATTTACAGGGAATAACTTTAGCCTACAAGTTGCAGATTAATTTTTACAGGGAATAACTTTAGCCTACAGGTTGCAGATTTACATTTACAGGGAATAACCTTAGCCTACAGGTTGCAGATTTATATTTACAGGAATAACCTTAGCCTACAAGTTGCAGATTTATATTTACAGGGAATAACTTTAGCCTACAAGTTGCAGATTAATTTTTACAGAGAATAACTTTAGCCTACAAATTGCAGATTTATATTCCTTCGAACTTGAGTTTCTATTTATAACAACTATAATAAGAAACTCTACAACTAAGCCTTGCACATTAGTCACGTTTGTAGATACATTGGGGAAGTTTTTTACTGAATTATTAAGGTTTTACTTATCGCTGCTAAGCAATCGCCCTGGGAAAAAAAAGATCCCTCACCAAAAACAAAGTATGTAACCTGGACTTAAATATTAACATCGTTACCCAAACGTTCCGTTAAAGTTCAAAATTTTCAATAAATCAGACTATTTTTGTTGTTCTTGTTTGTAATTAAGCACAAACCTACACATTGAGCTATCTGTGCTCTGCCCACCACGGGTATCGAAACCCGGATTCTAGCGTTGTAAGTCCGCAGACATACCGCTGTGCCACTGGGGGGCCAGACTATTTTAATTTTCCCTTCCCGAATAAAAATATTTAAAATAAATTGCGCCTCTGTAAATAGATTATGTTTATAGGTTTGTTTGTAATTAAGCACAAAGCTACACGATAGGCTATCTGTGCTCTGCCCACCACGGGTATCGAAACCCGGAATCTAGCGTTATAAGTCCGCAGACATGCCGCTGTGCCACTGAGAGGGGGGCATGTGTATAGGAGAAGCTATAGCTAAAGTTGGATTAATCGTATTAGAAACATCTAATAGCATGTTCAGTAAATTGTTGTTTTTTGTTTTTACAACTCTTAACCTGGTATTTTAATCACAATATTATATTCTAGTTTTTTTTATTGTAGGCTTTCCTTATTCGTTTAATTGTTTATTTATTATTTTCATTGTTATCTTCACAAACATTAGATTTCTGTATTGCTGTATCTCTAGTTAAATTGTAACACATGTCGTAATATTTTACCACATGGTAAGCAACTCTAAAATTACACTGTCTGTGCTGTTTACTGGGTTTTTATTGGTCACTAGACGCTCCCCCCCCCCAGTGGCACAGCGATATGTCTGCGGACTTTCAACGCTAGAAACTGGGCTTCGATACCTGTGGTGGGCGGAACACGGATAGACCTTTGTGTAGCTTTGTGCATAATTACAAACAAACACTGGATGCTATACGGCTTTAAAATAACTTGAGAATTTATTTTTATTTTTTCATATAACACAAGAATAATTTTAAAGTGTAAT